GCTTATTCAGATATGAATCAAACCAGTTTAGTAAGGTTCCATTAATACGATAAATTGACAACTTCTTAATCAATACTTCGTGCGGCACCTTATCAAAGCCTTTGCTGAGATCTGTATAAATTACGTCTATTTCCTGGCTAGTGTCAACGGCTTGCATTAGAGTCTCAACAAAGGAAACCAAATTTATGGCAGTTGATCTAAATTTCAAAAAACCATGTTGATGGACCGTGATAAATGGTTTCACATAAGCGGAAATATATGGACAGATCAAAATTTCGAAGACCTTAGACATTGTGGAAAGGATTGAAATCGGTTTATAATTTATAATCAAATCACTATCACCAGACTTAAAAACTGGAACCACCTTTGCGATTTTCCACTCCCTGGGAAAGTCTCTCTAAAAACTATTTGCTAAAGATAAAGCAGAGAGGTACAGCAATACTTAAGGCACAATTTCTCAGGAAACAGGGTGAAATACCGTCGGGTCCAGCGCCTTTATCTACGTCCAGGGACTTCAAAGCGCGAACCACTGCTTCTTGATGAAAATAGAGACCACCGAATGATGAACTACTATTAGCAGTACCTTCGAGTACTGATGAGTTATGAGTTGGTGACCATGTGGCTTTGGTATAAACTACGGCAAAGTGACTAGCAAAAATATTACAAATGCTCGGCCCATCATTTGCAATCATATCTCCATTCGTCATACTGGTTGGGTATGAACTACAGCCACTACGTTTACTTTTAACAAAAGACCAGAATGCTTTTGTATTTCTAGATATTCTATCCTTAACGTTATTAAGGTATGCATTGTAACAGGTAGTACCAAGTTTTTGACATCTTTTAGACAAAATACTCAACTCAATCTTATCTAAAGGATTTCTATACTTTTTGTATCTTTTTAGAATCTTGTTCTTTTCGCGAAGTCTGCGGATTAAACTGTTACTAAACCATGGCGGGTACTTACCGTGGTTGACTATTTTTTTTGGGGCACAAATTTCGATATAATATGTCTGATCAAGACATAAAAATGTTCAACTATTTGATTTAAATCTTTGTACTGAGAAAATTCTGCTACCCAGTCAATTTTGGAAAGATAATCATTGATGGAAGAATAATTAGCTCTTTCAAAATTAAGTTTAGTGAAATTTGTATTATATTGCAGTTGACAAACGTTTTCATAATGTATATCAACATGTAGTGGTGGGTGATAAAGATCCGTTTTACTAAGAACATCTAACGATTCACTTTAACACTTTGCAATTAACCATGTCGGTGAATAGCAGATCTAACGTTTTATTATGTTGATTTGCGTTTGTATTACACTGTCTCAAATTATGTAGAGAGGCGAAGTCAATCAATTTTTGACCAAGCACAGGTGCCTGATATTTTATATCGGTATCATATACCAGTTTCCAATTAATATTGCGTAGATTGAAATCACCGATAATACAAACATGACCTTCAATATCATATTTCTCCAATATCGAACTACAGTGATCTACAAAACTTTGGATAATTTTTTAGTTTTTTTAGTTTTAAGCGATGGGTAACTGGTGGAGGAAGGTACACAGCACAAAAAGTAATTTGTTTTATTGTACCAGCTAATGGTATATTTAACACTACCCACAAATCCTCGCATGAGCTGTTCCAAAAAGTGACTTCCTTGGCTTGAATCTTTTTTGACACTGCAATCAGTACACCCCCTCCTTCTCCCTCGGAAAACAAACCAGTAGACTTTCTGTCTCTTCGAAACACAATGTATCGATCATCAAATAATTCAGTATTCAATATTTTTTATTTATGAATTAATATTTTTTATATTGCTACATAGCCAAGTTTCAGACACAATAATATCAAAATTGCACACTGACAAATTTTAAAAAAATATATTAGTTTTAGTTCTTAGCCCTCTAGTGTTTTGATAGTATATTTGTAGCGTGAATTTTATAAATTAAAACTGTATATGCATGCTTAAAGTACAAACGAAAACCAAAAATAAATAAACCATGGCAGCTAATATTTACATATCTTTGACAATGATATAGCCCGTGCCTTCACTTTTTCTCAAGTAGATTTTTCCCCCTCTGACCCATACAAATTTAAAACCTTTCTCTTTGGCTGTTCTTCTTGCAGCTGCATGTAGTGCTTTGTACAGTAGTTACAGATAGATGGTCAGCAACAAAGATGGGTGTCTTTTGCCGACCAGTCCGAGATGTGCGCTATTCAATTTATCGTCTGGGTGTTTTTTATTAAAATTAATACTCGCTGCCAAGAAAGCATCACGTAGTTTTAAGTCTTTGAACAACAACTATCGATCGGGGACGCAAACTGTCTTGTTGCAGCTTGGCTATTCTTGTAACACGAGCTATATGTTCGTCTGCTACTTCACAATCAATGACATTACCAAATTTTTTTAAGAATGTCACTAAATTCTCAGATTTACTTTCGGGCATACATTGTATCTCAATATTATTGGCGCAAGAATTTTGTTCCAATTGATTCACGCGCGATTGAAGACTATTGATGGTAGACTGCATTAACTCGTTTTTCTCCTCTAATTTTTTTTATCTTTTCTTGGTTTGCTTTATGGTCAATTTGAAGCATTTCAAACGTTCCGTTTATAAACTCCACAGATTCCTTGATTTCCTTAAATTCATCCTTAAAAGTCTTCATTTCAGCATCCAACATTCCTCGTAAACTGCGGTTTATTTCTTTTGTAAAGTCTGCCAAGTGAGATTTTAAGACATCGTTCATAATTGCATGTGTAATCATGGGTAAGAGGATGTGCTTCATTGTTGTTCTGTGGCGATAATAGCGCTTGTCTTTTAGAGGAACGGACGGTAACATTGGGGTTAAAACGTACCGGAGTATTATCAATAGTGCCACGTTTTGGAATAGTACTGGCGTAATTTGGGCACATCCATTTCAAGTTTATTTCCAAGGATTTAACAGAAACACAAGCTAAGTGGTACGCCTTCAAACACTTAGTACATTTGACATCAACAACCTCATACCGTATTCAAAGTTTTAGCCATAATTTTTATTCAACAAAGGTAATGATTTCTTATAGTTACGCGCTTGATTAAAACTACTTTTACGGATTTTATCGCGTTTTATTTATATTAATTTTAATACCCGACATTTCGAGTGCTTTCCAGCACCCATGGTCACGGGGGACTGAGGTGACTGACGTCCCGATGTCAAAGTTAACCTTGAGTACCTTCAGCTTTTTAATTATTGTCTTTGGTCCGATCTACGCAGAATGAACTAACTGTATTTTGAAGTCTTGCAGTGGTATGCTTGGGTTTAGTTTTAATTTTATTAATTATAGGATCCCAAGCAGGTGGTAGTACCCAGCCTCCTTCTCTATTGAAAATAGGATGTTTTTTAATTTCAATAGCCTCACGTATCATCCTTGGTAGGAATCGATGTTCTTTCGCGAGGATTTGTGGTCTATTAAATCTGATGTAATGGTTGGGGCCATCTAGAATATGATCGCAAACTGCAAACTTCCCGGAACGTTGATGCTTCACGTCAGCTATGTGTTCTTTTACGCGGGTTCTAATTGATCTCTTTGTTTGCCTTATATATGAGAGACCACAATCAAAATCAAGCTTGTACACTCCTGCATCTTGTAGAGGAATATGACACTTGACGGGTGGTAAGAACTGACTAATCTTCTTCGGCGGCTTGTAGAATGTTCTAATAGAAGCTCGCTTCAAGATGTAGCCAATCTTGTCTGTGACACCTCTGACATATGGTAGTATAGCAGGCACACGCTCGACTGTGGCCGGCTTCACTCGGTCACTGTGACGGAGGCGCGTGACCCGAAGCTTGCTGTCGTGCAGAACCTGCTTGACGTGCTGAAGCTCGGCGGCCAGGTGTTTGCTGTCACAGATCCCTCGTGCTCTCTGAAACAAAGATTTGCCCACGGTAACCAACTGTGAAGGATGATGGTGAGATTCACCATTTAAGTATCGGTTTGTATGGGTCTTTTTTCTATACACAGTATGACCTATGGTGTTGTTAGGATTTCGGATGACTAACACATCTAGGAAAGCTAAGGAATTATTTGCCTCTAACTCCATAGTAAATTGAATTTTAGTGTTTATGGAATTAAGATGTTCTAAAAATGCAGTTGCTTTGTCTGATGGTAATATTGTAAATACAATGTATGCAAAAATAAACATATTGATAAATACCAATAATAAATGAATAATAAAAATAAATACCAAAAATAAATGGTCAACGACCGAAACTTGGTCACTTTATCTACTACTAATGTGTCTATATTAAAATAAATATCGCGATCGAAACGAGAATTACATTTTAAGCTTATCGAACCTTGGACCATTTAATTGAAGCCTTCAATTCCCTTTACAACGGGACATGTAAGTGTCGTTTTTACAAATAATCCCAAACGTTGGCAACACTGTTCCGTTATAAAATTACTTTGCGAAGTTTTATCTATAGTTCATAAAAGATAGCTCGATCTCTGCGACAGCTGTCAGTAAAATCACGCCTATGAAGTCCTGAATTTCTTAGTAGTACAGACAGTACCTGTCAACGTCATACTTTATAGGCATGGCGACGTAATTAGTGCCGCCATCTTGTTTGATACGAACCTCCATTCTCTTCAGTACGAGTGCCGACGCCTTGTATACGCTACGTGTTTTGCGTTCTCATTACTTTGTTTGTTTAGTATGTTACTATTGCTGTTATTGTTTGTTAATTTGTTGATTTTTGTTATCTTTTATTATTGTTAGTTTCTTGTTGGCATAATGCCAAAGAGAACGAAGAAAACCGAGGAAATGAATTTTGAAAAATTTAAGGAGTGATTTTAAAAATTATTAGATAATTTAAAGGAGCCATATTGCATTATTATGGATAACGCCCCATATTACTCGGTCCAAAAGCACAAACCACCAACTTCGGCAAACAGAAAATTAGAAATCATTGCATGGCTTCAAGAAAAAGGAATAGAGGCCAATGAAATTATGCTTAAAAATGAATTATTAAGACTCGGTGGTCTGCACAAACCTACTACTCCAACGTATGTCTTAGATGATATAGCCCACGAAAAGGGTCATACCGACATAAGATTACCCCCGTACCACTGCCAGTATAATCCGATCGAGCTTATCTGGGCCCAAGTCAAAGGTTTGTTTGCTTGAATTTCAGTTAGATAGGTACTTTAATTATTAACTACTGTTTAATTAATCTTATTAAAAATATGTTTTCTTTTAGGGTTACGCTGCCAGATACAATACAACACCGCCTTTCACGGCAAATAAAATGTTGCAGTTATTAAAAAGTGCGGTCGACAATGTATCTGCAGAAGACTGGAAGAAGGTGGTAACCAAACGCAGAAAACTAATGTAAGAAGATTGGGAGCTGGACGTCCGATTTTATAATATTTGCGAACAAGAGTTTATAATAAATTTACAAGATTGTTCTAGCGGTTCAGAAAATGATTCAGATATGGATTTGGGGTGTACTCCTTTAAGAGATTAAATGCATTTTATATTAAAAATATTCGTTTAATTTAGTAACGTTTGTAATTAAATTAAACCCAATTATTATATGTTACATTAGCATCGATAATAATAAGAAACATCGATAATTTCTATCGACAATTTTTTTATATCCTGACAACCCTAGGAATGTCAGTTTGACATATGTCGCAGAGATCAAGCTATCTTTTATCGTCTATGGGTGCGTTTGGCAGAAAAAAGCGCTAGCAAGCGCTTGTAAACAAAATGGCGATCGTAAGCGGTAAGTGCTGTCAAATCGTAAGTAGCTATTTTCTTCTAGGACACGATGTTAGTTTTAACCGGGGAACCTAACCCAATTTAAATATATGTTTGTAAAGTATTCATATTAAAAACTTACCAATCTTGAATTTTTAATAACATGTATATGTTTATTCATGTCATTATATTACTTAAAACTAATATTGCACAAAACAACTTATAAACTCTACTTCAAAACAAACAAATTAAATAAGCAAAATGGCGGATTGTGTCAGCGCTACTGAAGTAGCAATCGTGTCCTGGCCGAAAACTATTTTAGCGCTTATAAGCGCTTGCTAGCGCTTTTTTCTGCCAAACGCACCCTATAATAACGTACGAACGGATTTTCAACTGAACGTCAATAACGGTTTTACGCGTTTTTGGTGTCATTTTAATTATTTTAAGTTTTCTTGTAATATTCTGATTACATTCCTTATATATTTTAGTATATATTAATAACATTTATCTGCATTTTCATATTGTATCTAATTTAGCGATAATTTCATACTATCACAAAACAGTTTAATGTAGCCTTAGTCTCTCGGTCGCCATGTCTAATCCAATTCCGCCTAAGCCACCGGATCCGAATTATTCTGACACTAACATTATTTCCTCACCAGCTGCTTATGTTCAAATTGAAAATGATTTAGAAGGTTCATTTAAAAAACCACGGCAGTCATTATCGCAAGAAATTTTTGATGACAATTTCAAAATTATTTCAAACAAAAAGAAAAGAAAACATAAAACGAAGGAAAGGAAGAAAGAAGAACATGCTAATCGGGTTGACATAAATAGAAGAATTTCAGCTTTTTCCACCAATTCCTCATTCTCAGAATTGGACTGCGATACTGGTAATACTTCATCATCATAAATTAAAATTGTAGGCTCTAACTCTATCAAAGTTAGGACAACGTGCTTATGAATCTCCCATGTCTTTATCATCCAATATCGCTTGTACACAATCACCTGAAATCCCTTTCACAATCATCTGGCATTCCTCTATCACAAACATTAAATTCTGCCAATAGTTATATCTCTTCTAAATCTCTTAACACGCATATTGATTGCGATAATAAAAAATAGAGTCACAAAGATTTCAATCTCTTCGTTCTTATAATTCTACAGATTCAGGTCCTTTTATCGTTCATGTTCAAGTAAAAGCAGATTCTCCTAATTCTGGTAAAACTTTAAATGCCATTTCATTTGGTCACTTTTTGAAAAAATTAAATGTACAAAATATATTTAATGGAGCCTAAAACGTATCGAGAGAAATAGAATAACGGTTGAATTATCTAAATTTATTGATGCAAATCTATTTTTAGAAAATCCATCAGTAAATGATAAATATAAAACCTTTATTCCATCCTTTCACGTATCTCGTATGGGAGTTATAAAAGGTGTACCAAAAGATTGGACACCAGAAGAGATTATTTCCGAATTATCTACGTATCCAAACACCATTCATGTATTAAAAGTAAGAAGATTAAATTACCGAATTCGCAACGAGGACAAAGTCAGATATGAAAGCTCTGAAAGTGTCGTAATCACATTTGACGGTCAAATTCTTCCCTCGAGAGTTTATTTATGCTATTCTTCCATTCCTGTTGTAATTTATAAGCTTCCAACGATCCAATGCTTTCAGTGCTGCAGATTTGGACATACTAAAGATTTATGTCGTTCCAAGCCAAGATGCTCAAAATGTGGAGGTGATCACTCCTCTTCTTCTTGCGACAAAAAAAATGGATCCTTTCGTTGCTTATTTTGCTCAGGTAACCACAAAGCCACAGATTCTAGATGTCCTGAACACACAAGACAAAATAATATTAAAATTGAAATGGCACAAAATTCTATCTCATGCCTAGAAGCATCTCAAAAATATCCTCAAGTTTCTTCAAATCATATGCTGATACTTTGATTTCTAAAATCCCTGAAAATTCTTCGCCTCCTACTAATCCTACAATGGATAATTTTCCTTCCAACCCCGCTACATCTAATAAAACTTCTTATAAGAAATCATTATATATTCCTAAACCATTACGTCACCATTCACAAACAGGATACGACAAAAAAAAGTCATCAAAAAATTATTGGAGATTTTTCAATTCCGCAACCTGAGGATGGTTGTGCTCTTCGGGTTTCACCAGTTACTTCACAGAGTATTTTTTTTTATTTATTAATTTATTTCAGATAACATAAGATCCATATCATTAAAATTGATTGACTTAAAAACATTAATTAATTGATAATAAATAATAATAATATGTCATGAAAATACAATAACTAACATAGGTACATAACATAACATATAAACGCAATAATAACTAACACATAATTATTATTTAGTATTTTCTCACTCCCACAATTACTGGGACATGTTTGTTACAGCAATGCCGGAGGATAGGACAGTCCAATCTGTCTCCTATCATTTTCAGAATAATATTGGAGCTGGCCCGCACTCTGCGCACCAGTGACGCGCACCGCTTACGCATGGTCGCGTGAAAACAGGCAGTGCGCGCCTCCGCAAACATGCCAGAGGCACTGCAGAAGCGGGGCAGCCCCAAAACCACCCTGAAAGCGTTATTGTACAGGACGCGGAGATCGTTGTAACTTCGTTTATTATAGTCTGCCCACAGGCTCGATGAATAGAGTGACGTACAATAAGCTCTAAACAGTGTAATTTTTACCTCCTGTGAGCAACGCGTAAATCTGCGGGCTATCATGTTTGCTCTGATGGACAACGCTCTCCGCTCTCGCTCAATGTCCGCATTGTCCTTGAGGTCATTCGTTATTATGTGTCCTAGGTACTTAAATTGGTTGACAACTTCTAGCGGCACCCTATTCAGTAAGACTGGAGGAAATACATTTGGTACCTGCCTTGAAGACCATGCATTGACTTTTAATAATAATAATAATAATAATAATAATAAGGCGTAGGGAAGTGACGACCCCATCGCCCGCTGACGTAACAGTTATGTGACAAAACTACTACGTCGGCGCAGTCAGTCAGCGCCCTGCCAAGAGGTGTGAGCGCCGTGCCTAGGCAAAATTGTGGGTGCAAAGGTCCGTTTGTGCATATGACCGAACCACGAAACGGTGCCGGGCTTGGGCGTCTCCCGTTATTTGGCGCCCATAAATGGATGATGGTACAAAGAGGAACGCGCATAGGGCCGCTGCCTGGGGGTCGCCGGGGCGCGTCTGGAGCTGGCGCTGGACGCGGCAGCATGCGGGCCGCCAGCCGAGCGCGAGGAGCTGTACGATCACCTAGCAGCCCTCCGCATCCATCATCCCCACCAGAAGGCTTGGTGTCGGCTGGGTCTTCTCGGACTCAGCAAGCGGCACCCGCCGCTGGTGGAGCACGTCGCATGCGTTGGTCACAAACAATGAACGCAAACGCACTGCGGGCGTACTTTAGGGCAAAAGGGGAAGAAACCGGATGTTTGGCATATCGGGCTCGGATGCATCGCTTTTTTTGCAGAGCTGGAGCCATCTCTATCCGTCACTGAGCAAAACCTGGCAGACCGAGTTCGGTACATCCTGCGCTCCAACATATTTGGTGACGCCGAACTCGAACGACTACGACGTGAGGCTGTTCCCTCATCGGATGGAAATGCTACGGCTGGGAATGCGGCGCCACTAATTGCGCAGCAAACTGCAAATGTGGACGCTGCCGTCAATATTCCATTTGTGGTTGATTCAGACGATGATGGAATAGTCCCCCACGAACTAGAGAAAATGAGGAGCATATTGGAAGAGTCGATGCTGGAAACGCGCAGCATGCCTCTCGAAAATCGACCGCGACTTCCCCGCATACCCCTTAGCAAGCGAAATCGGGCTGTCGTGCGGGCTCTTAACCCAATGCTGGTGACCTATTTGGAAGCCAGCCGGGACCTTTGCGAGACGGACTCAATTCTTTTTGGCGCCGCACTGGCAGTATGCCGTATTATTGGCGCCAAACTTCCCATGGCTGGACGTGCTACTCAACAAGGTAGTGCCATCCCAGCCTGGAGAAAAAGAATCGAGGACCGTATCGCAAAGGCAAGGGCCCTTATCGGCAGACTGACAAGCTTCAGGTCGGGTAATATTAGACCGAGAGTTGTGCGCACCGTTAGAATGGCGTTTGCTGGGACAAATATTAGTTTGTCCCAGCCGGATATCACGCAGAAACTAACGGAGCGCATAGATGACCTGAAGCAAAAAATCGCTGCTTGGGGGAAGCGGATTCGACGATTTAGCGAGAGGTCAAGGCGGTTCAACCAAAATCGTCTCTTCCAGAGTGATCAGAAGAGGCTCTATAAATCATTGGAGCGACCAGAGGTATGTGGAGCGGGCCCAGGACCGGATCAGGCTGACACTGTCGCATTTTGGCGTGGCCTGTGGTCAGAGCCCGTAAACCACAGCGAGGGCCCTTGGATGGAAGTTGTGGCGAGCCAGAGTGCAAGTGTTACGCCTATGGACCCCGTCACCATAACGCCTGAAGACGTGGCTGAGGCGGTCCGTAGGGCCCCGAACTGGAAAAGTCCGGGGCTCGACGGGCTGCATCATTACTGGCTGAAGGGGTTCGTAGTGTGTTACGCTGTGCTCGCCCGACAGTATCAAGAGGCTCTCGATCAGAAGTCGCTCCCGAGCCTCTTCACTACTGGGATCACTCACTTGGTTCCTAAAGATCAGGATACCACAGACCCGAGCAAATACCGCCCCATCACGTGTCTACCCACTATATATAAGACACTGACATCCATTTTGAGCGCGAGAATCACTCGTCACCTGGAGCTAAATCAGGTGATGTCACGCGCTCAAAATGGATGTCGGGGCGGTGGTCGTGGAACCAAGGAACCACTCCTCATTGACGCGGTCATTGGCAAAGTGGTAAAACGCAACCGTCGGAACTTCTCCGCCGCCTGGATAGACTACAGAAAAGCATTCGACTCGGTGCCCCATGCATGGCTAAAGAGGGTCCTCGAGCTGTACAAGATTGACTGTACAGTTAGAGACTTCCTCGAGCAGTGTATGGGGCAGTGGAGTACGATCCTCTGTTATCAGGGCGAGCGGATGATGGCTGCGGAGAACCACATAAGGATAAGAAGGGGTATCTTCCAGGGCGATTGTCTGAGTCCAATCTGGTTCTGCCTCTCTCTGAACCCTCTCAGTACCTTACTGGAGGGCTCCGGGAGAGGATTTCAGCTACGGAAAGGAGGAACAAAAGTGACCCACCTTTTCTATATGGATGACCTCAAGTTATTCGCCTCCAGTCGCTCCCATCTTATGGAATTGCTAAACATCACTTGTGAATTTAGCAATTCCATTGGAATGGAGCTGGGGACGGATAAGTGTGCGGTCCTTCATGTTGAAAGGGGAAGGGTTGCTAACTCTGAGGGCATAGATTTATCTATGCCCGTCAACTTAAAGACCCTTTCCGAGGCTGAAACATACCGATACCTGGGTATGTCACAGAACATCGGTATCGATGAGGCTGGTATGAAACAGTCAGTTTGCGACGTGTTTTATGCACGCTTGACCAAAGTGCTTAACAGCCTTTTGTCCGGTGTGAATAAGACACACGCATATAACGGTTGGGTCATGCCTGTCCTCATATATACCTTTGGCATACTCAGGTGGACTCAGACCGAACTTAACGCCCTGGATAGAAAAGTCCGCACTACCATGACGTCCCATAGGATGCATCATCCGAGATCGTCGGTAATGAGGCTGTACTTGCCGCGAAAGCATGGTGGGCGTGGTTTTATGAGCGCGCTCACCATGCATAATCGCGAAGTGTGCAGCCTCCGTGATTACTTCCTGGCGAGATCGGATGATCCATTCTATAATGACGTCATTTCTAGTGATAAAGGGCTTACCCCTCTATCCTTAGCCCACGAGCAATGGCAGGACCCAGCAGTGCTTAGCATTTCCGACCGGGAGACCGTATGGAAGGAGAAGGAGCTCCACGGGAGGTACTACAGGGCTCTTCATGAGCCCTTCGTAGATACAGTCGCCTCCCTCAACTGGCTACGTTTCGGTGACCTCTTCGGGGAAACCGAGGGTTTTGTCTGTGCAATACAGGATCAGGTTATTAAGACCAACAACTATCGGAGATACATCCTAAAGGATGGCACCGTCGACGTCTGTCGAGCTTGTCGCCATCCCGGTGAATCACTTAGGCATGTCATCTCCGGTTGTTCGGCGCTTTCTAACTCTGAGTACTTGCACAGGCACAACCTAGTAGCCAGAATTCTACACCAGGAGCTCGCTCTGAAGTATGGTCTCGTGGACCGGAAATTGCCGTATTACAAGTACTTGCCGGAAGCCGTGCTCGAAAATGACCGCGCCAGGCTCTACTGGGACCGGGCCATCATCACAGACAGGACTATTCTTGCGAATAAGCCTGATATTGTGCTGATGGACCGGGCACAGTCAAGGATATTTTTGGTCGACATTACCATTCCGTATGACGAGAACCTCGTGAAAGCCGAAACAGACAAGCAAACAAAATATCTGGACCTGGCTCACGAGGTGACCGACATGTGGGGTGGTCTGCCGACCGAAATTATTCCTGTAGTCGTCTCTGCAAACGGGCTAATCCCAGTCAGCCTCTCGGGTCATCTGAGGCGACTGGGACTACGTGGCGGACCGCTCCGGGCTCAAATGCAGAAGGCGGTGCTCCTCGATACCGCCCGCATCGTCCGCCGGTTTCTTTCCCTTTCCCCCTAACCCTCGGCCGTTTGGTCTCCCCTGCCGAGGGCCTCCATCTGGTTGGGCTTTTATTTATTTAAGTATTTTTATATTTATTTTATGTTATTGATATTTATGTATATTTATCTTTTCATTCTCATTTATAATTATATATTTATAGAACCCAACCAGATGAGAAAACTATATAGATACCCCACAATAATAATAAATTATTTATTTCGTCAAACATTAATGTTACATTATATAAATCGAAGTCACCTAGTAAGCAAAATAATGCCTGTAGCAGGTGACTTCGCTCTTCCATAGCTAAGTATTTCAATATTATTTACGAAATAAAATATCCTAAAGTAGATAATAAAAATAATAAAAACATCAATTAGTATTATGTTTTTATTATTTAATATACAGTTTGGTCACGTAGAAAGAATGAATGATGAAAGAGTGTACTGACTTTTCTTCACATTGTACTTTAGACCGTGTCCACTAGCATACTCTTCACAAATGCGTATCAGTTTTCTTAAGCCACAGATCGACGCGCTCAGCAAAACCATGTCGTCAGCGTAACTCAGATTCCCCCCCGAACGGGTTCCCGCCTTGTCGTGGCGGGGGGCTTAGTAGCCGTGGTTTGGTCTCCCACGGTGAACAAAGAGGAACCCACGTGGCTGGCCCGAGGTGAAGGGCCGGCCTGAGGTGGCCACTCCGAGTGGGCTTGGGGAGCCCACTTCGGATGTGTGCTGGTGGACTGCAGCGAGTGGGGACTCGCGCACCCTCTACCGCTGCAGCCGAGGTGGAGTCGCGGAGGAAGAGGAGTGTTGGTATGGCGATGCGCCACTCGCCCTATCCTTCGCGACTCAAACGGGGCCGCACCGTTGATGCGGTGGTGGTGGGGCTGCGGGGGGAGAGGATTGTCGGTATTGCGAGGCGCCGCTATCCCTGCTCTCCGCAGCCGAATCTTGGTTGGCGGCGGAGCCATAGACCAGATCCGCCGCTGGGGTCGGGAAGGCTAGTACTTCTAAGTGCTCGTTTTTCCTGGCCCCATGGCCTTTGTGCATCGGACGCGGGGGCGTCTGTTGCACAGACGTAATTGGAGGCCGTGGAGGAAGGCGCGCCATGTGTTCTGGTGCGCCTTACCTGGGAAGGAGAACGGGGAGGAATTTTCCTCTCCCGAGGAGGTGCTGCCATGGGGCGGCAGGCGCTAGTAGGGCCGCGGATGTGTGCGAAAGCGTTCCCGTGGCCCTGCCAATATGCGACAAAGGTGGAACACCATGGGGTTTTAGTCGGTGCTAGTCCGACATAACCCGTCCTTGCCCCCCGCGAGGCGGGTATGCGTAGGCATTTCCCCATGCAAAAAAAAAAAAAAGCGTAACTCAGATTATTAACACATACGCCGTCGATATGACAGCCGACGCGCTGGCTGCTGAGAGCGACTTTTTAATTTGTATATGAATGATTCAAATCATTCATATACAAATTAAAAAGTGTCGGAAATGTTAATCCGCCCTGCCTGACCCCACATTCGAGCGAATACGGATCCGAAACTGCTCCTGCCCAACGTACGCTGTTAGATTGGTGTGAATACCAATACTGGAGCACACTGATGAGTTCCTCAGATAAGTTTATGCTTCTCAGCTTATCCCATAAACGGTCGTATCGGACTAAATCAAAAGCCCTTGATAAGTCGAGGAAGCAGGCATATACAGGCGTCTTGCGGTTTGTGTAGTATTTAACGGTATGCTTAAAACACAGTATTGCGCTTTCAGTCGACAGCTTCGGTCGAAACCCGAACTGGTTATCATTCAGCTTTACGTATTTATTTAACTGTGCATTAAGCAACCCGTCAAACACCTTTACTATGACAGTGGCAAGGGAGATGGTTACTTTTGTCAGTAAGATCACCAGTTTTATTTTTCACTACAGGCACCACAACTGTCTTCATAAAATCGGCTGGTAAGTAAGAATGGCCCACGCACAGCGAATAAAACATAGCCAATACCCTCGCGACATGTGGCCCGGCGTACTGCAGGTGCTCAATACTAAGACCGTCATGTCCCGGTGACTTACCTCTTGAAATACTTTTTATGGCTTTTGAAACATCTTTTGCCAAAAACGCGGTCGTTACCACGTGACTACTTACGTTACTATTGATCACATCCCCGGCGGGGCCCAGTGGCGATTTCACAGAGAAGTGGTCCCTAAAGACATTTGCAATGTCCTTGGGATCGTTCACACCATCAACGCTCACAGGGAGGCCAGGCCGTACATTAATTTTACTAATGTTTTTCCAGAAGCCCTTAAAGTTACCCTTTGAATGCTTTTCCGCAAGAGAGTCCATTTTTATTTGTTCTTGGTGGTCTTGGCACCATTTTAATCTGGACTTGAAAACTCGTCTGCTTACGCACATTTCTCGGTAAACAGGACCCGATTTTGGTTTTCCGCACATCACCCATTGACGTGCTTGTTCCAACCCACTATACGCGAGCCACTCCCCCCCACTTTCATGCTTCCCCGACTTACCACTGCTGCGTCACGAAGGGCGGTAACAATGTCGGCGTAAAGCTTATCTAGAGTACGCCAGTGACCACGGTCATTACAAGCATAATCAGCACAGCTCACACAATCCGAAGGAAAGTCAATCAATCTTAGCCTCTTATGACACTCAATGGTATACATAGAGATTTCTTCAACACTTTTTCACCCCATAATATATCTTTATTTGGATTCATAAATTTAGGTAATATTTTAGGGGTTAGTAATTTAAATCGCAATTTATAATAAGTGGAAAGTGGTCCGACCATTGAGTATCATATATTACATTAACATTACTCACAGACTGCTTTGCCGACTGAGTAGTACCTAATGCAGTGATCCAGCCAGCTGCATGTCCCGAACACATCACTAATAAAAGTAAAAGTGCCCGAGTTTAACCCTAATATCTCTGTGTCTATACACGACCATAGTTGGTCATTACAAAAATTAATAAGTTCACCGTAAAACAACTCACCCGGGTCCGCATTAAAGTCTCCCAAAATAAATACGGCATCAATTCCGTATTCGTCAACAATCGCACTCACCGTACTCAAACAGTCTATAAATTCTGGTAAATTTTCTACCGAATTTGTTGGCATATAAACACTCATTATGATCACACGTCTATCACACGTTATAATTTTTATACCACAAATACGGCTATTATCGCACTGTAATATTGACACCTGTTGAAATGCACTATATCGCCATAACACTGCAGCTCCCCCAAACGGACGTCCTCTAAGGATGCCCGCAGACATATCCATCGCCGATGTTGCTGTGTATCCGAAACCACTGTCAATGGTGCCAATGTAGGGTATGTCGTGTGGTATTAGCCAAGTTTCTTGAAGACACACCACATCACATGATCGGCAGAGTTCTCGGACATCGTCTATTGATCGTTTTATATTTTTGCAATTAAATGTGGCAAGTCTAAATGGGGAACTATCCATTATTGGGTTTATTTTGACCGTCTACGCTGGTAGAAACTGCAACGTTCGTTTTCCTGTACTTAAAGTTTACAAAACGTCGGAATATGACACCTTCGGGCCATAGCGTTTCGTCCATGTATTTCGATAAATTAGCCTCAGATATTAAAAAATTGTATGCTTTGTGTCCTCTTTCCACTTTCATATTTATTTTCTCCAGATTCACTATTTCCTTTGTCTTATTATAGATATGGTTAGTTATATCTTTTTCTGTTGCAGAGACATGCACATTCGTAATGAACATAGGAATTTTCCTATCGGCAGCTCTGAAGGTGCATTCTAGGTCCTCTTGCTATGCCCGACTTTCCTACTTAACGATATTTGTTTTGTTTTTTACGATATACCACTTTTTGCCAGTCTTCGCTGTTATTATTTTGCGAGCGCTCCGGTTCACACGTTTCTAACGCGCATCTATCGCCTGCCTTATCAGTAGTGGTCAGCTGCTCCGCTAGCTGTAGATTCGTGCTCGATGCGTGTAACGTCACCGCCGGACCGGTTCGAGTGTTCGCCTCCTGATTCACTATTGGCCTTACTCCTCCCTCACTGCAGCCTGTAAGTGCGCTTGCCTGAGTCCGTTCCACCGACAGACGTTGCCGGTCGTTTAGTTTATTTTCTGTCTGCTTATGTCGGTCTACCCTCAATTTTTCAGATTGCGTCGAAGGCGATTTTATGATCAATGATTCATTTATGTTTCTTGTACTTATCTCATTGGGCAACATATCATAATCATGTGAGAGTCCCATTGGTCCACTGTCTAGCCACGCACCTCGTTTCATGTTCATTTTGAAAGCTGACGCCGGCGGTGGGTAATTGGTTTTTAGCTGATAGACTTCCGTTTTTAGTTCATTTACACACTCTAGCGTAGCATAAGTCGACTTTATGCCTTCGATTTCAGTCTTCATCGTTATCATGTCCTTTAACAGTTTAGAACAGTCCAAATGATTCCATAAGATTGGTGGCAGTTTATCTAACTGTCTTGCCACAAAAACTGGGATAAGGTCGGGCTCCGTAGTTTTAAATAAGTTTATAATATCTGCTACGTCACGCTCTTCTTTCCCTTTATTCTTTCGTAATATTTTTCTTTTGTCCGTTGGGATAGACTCAAACAAAAGTGTCTTGGAGTTCTTAATATCCTCACTTGTAAATGCCGACTTACAAATACGCACTAGAGTTTCCTCGTCTGCGATCGATATTTTATTTTGTATATATGACAACATCTCGTCAATGACGATGTTACATTTATTGCACTTCACTACGTTCGTCATATTTATTAAAATGCGCTCGTTAACGCTCATTAAAAGTTGACACGCCCAACTCGTACGGGTGCGCGCTCACGACTGATTTTGATTCTGTAGAAAGCATTATAATTTTCCTTATTAACATAATCATATCTTCGTATTCGTCGAAGCTACCGTCCCACGTTGCTCGCTTACTAAATTCTATACCTAAAATTCTCCAAGACATTCACTCTCACAAAGATCCTTCAATGGAATTGTAGAAGCATTTTAGATAAACGTACTGAAATAATCTATTTATTAAAAAAAATACAATGTGTGTATCGCTGCTATTTCAGAGACATGTCTAAAACCGGATCCGAACATCAGAGTACCTGGTATTTGTCTTGTTCGAAATGGCAGATCTGATGGTTATGCCGGATGTGCTTTGCTTATAAAAAATAATATAACTTATTCCATTATAGATGTTTATGATGAAATATTTGACTTTAATATTGTAGCAGTAAGAATTCAAAATATTACTTTCGTTGCTATTTAAGTTCCATCCCCTTCTGTCCATACGTTTCGCAGAATAAAATCTTTAATAGCATCCTTACCCAAACCATTTATAATTCTTGGTGACTTTAATTGTCATCATTATTTATGGGGTGATAATTCTGATAAATACGGTAGTTTATTAGTTGAAATAATTGACGAACTTAACATTGGTGTCCTTAATACTGGTAAAATTACCAAACGCTCTCGTCCTAATGAGTCTAGAAGTGCTGTAGATTTATCAATTTGTACTACTGATTTAACCACTCTTCTAAATTGGTCAGTTCTAGATAGGTCTCACGGCAGTGACCATTTTCCCATTCTGATTTCCTTTCCGAACAAAGAATTGGCAGAAATTAACAAAAAACCATGTATTAAATACAAATTAGACAGAGCAGACTGGAACCTGTACAATATTTTTCTTTACAATGAAATTCTAAAAATCGCTCCTATTTCTGAAAATAATATAACTTCTATTGTTGAAGCATTTACAAACGCAGTTATAAATGCAGCAGATCAAACAATTCCTGTTAAAACTCTAAATAATAAATGTAGGCCCTCCCCTCCATGGTGGGATTCTGAATGTACTGAGGCCATACGTAATAGGAAAAAAAGCCGAAAAACAATATAAATTAGACATGAGTTCGGAAAACTATTCATATCTTTAACGTGTACAAGAAATGACTAAAAATACTCTTCGCACAAAAAAAACAAACACGTTGGCATGCCTTTTGTTCCTCAATTTTTCCTTCAATACCTTCATCCGTTGTTTGGCGTAATATTAGAAAATTTCGCTGTTGTTTTTCATCTTGTTCTTACAGTGGTGCCATTCCCTCTCAATCTATAAACACTTTTCTAGATAAACTTGCCCCCTCTTCTGCTCCTTTGAGAGAGGAGCTACCTCAAAGTATTCCATGTGATTCTTTTTTTGATCCCTTAGAACGTCCATTTTCTTTATATGAATTAAAGCTCGTCCTTTCTCACGTTCACGATTCAGCTCCTGGTTTAGACGGTTTTCTATATTCACTACTTGCCAAATGTAATGATCAAATTTTATCCTACTATTTAAATATCATTAACGATTTGATTGACATAGGCTTTGTTCCTGACTTTTGGCGGACTCAAGTAATTATTCCTATCTTGAAACCTGACAAAAATCCTAACGATGGCTCTTCCTATAGACCGATCGCTCTAACCTCAACTCTAATTAAAACCTTTGAACATATGATCAAGAACCGTCTTGAATGGTATGTAGAAAGTCATGGATTGTTATCAAATACTCAATATGGATTCAGAAAAGGCAAAAGCACATATGACAGTCTTTCTATCTTCACCACAGATATTAGACTAGCATTTTCGAGAAATGAATCGGTCCTTGCTGCTTTCCTTGACATTTCTTCTGCTTACGATAATGTCTGACTCAACATCCTTAGACAAAAGATGTTTAAGCTTAATATATCCAAAAAACTTACAAATTTGATTATCAATTTATTTCTAGATCGATATATACATATTAAAATTGATGAGGATCTAAAATATACTCGAAAGCTTTTCAAAGGCCTTCCACAAGGCTCTGTTTTAAGTCCTTTATTATACAATATTTATACGTCAGATTTGGACCAGTCTATTTCAAAGTGTAGAATTTTGCAATATGCTGATAATATCTTAGTTTATGTTAATGATAAATGTATAGAATCTCGTGCTAATGCGATAGAACAAAATCTCCTCTCTATGGCCTCTTGGTTAGATGATCATGGACTAGAACTTTCCCCAAATAAAAGTAATACAGTAATTTTTTCGCGTAAAAGAGTTTTACCTGAAATCCAAGTTCGCCTTTTTGATTATCCGCTCGTAAATATTCAGCAAGTTAAATTCCTTGGTGTAATTCTTGATAATAAATTATCCGGCATGCCTCATATCATTTATACCCAAAAAAAATGCGAAAAAAATATAAACATTCTTAGAGCTTTGTGCGGGGTATGGTGGGGCGCTCATCCATATTCTTTAAAATTAATTTATAATGCAATTATAAGAAGCCGATTAGATTATGTCTCATTTCTTCTTGAACCAGCTAGTAAAAAAGGATTAAAAATATTAGATATCATTCAACACAAGTCTTTAAGATTAATTATAGGCGCTATGAATTCGTCGCCTATCAATGCCTTGCAGATTGAATGCGGTGATCCTCCACTTTTTATTAGACGACAATATTTATCGGATTCTCGGGTTTTTTTATCGGGTTCTTCAATTTTCAAACCTTCCATTACTCCCTAAAATTCGTTTGCTTTCTCAGTACATTTCAATTAATTCAGGAAAATACTGGCGTAATAAAGAAACTCCTAACCTAGTTAAAAGCTATGATCATTATAATTCCTTACTAGATCCTATTTATAGGTCGGCGACTCTGCCTCTTTTCTCCAATTCGTTTGAAGTTGCACTTTTCAAACCCAATGTTATATTAGATATAAGATTAAATAAATTTTCTATTGAATCAAATAAAAAATTTGTATTTACGTTGCACAAGAATTTCCCAGATTGTCATTATATTTTTACAGATGCTTCTAAGATTAACTCAAAAGATTGTACTGGATATGCAATATACCATCAAAATTGGAGAATAGTTCAAAAAATGAAAAGTCCTCCCGAATCTTCAGTTTTTACTGTAGAAATGTTAGCCATTTTACAATCAATAAATATTGCTATCTTGTTAAATTAAAATAAAGCGTGATATTTTCAGATTCTCTTAGTTCTTTACAAGCATTGTTATGTAATCCTTTCTATGACATTTCCCGCAATCCTTTGATATTGAAATTAAGAAACTTCTATTCTTATACCAATTCCAAAACATCAACATTTCTCTCGTTTGGATTCCGAGTCATATTGGTATATCTGGTAATGAATATGCTGACAAACTTGCTAAACGAGCTATAGTCTGTGGGGATACTTTCTTATTTAAAAATTATTGCTATGACCTTATAAGAACTACGAAATTATTATATAGAGATAGATGGTCAAAATATTGGAATAAAACCAAAACGACAAAAGGCTGTCAGTATGCCAACATTCAACCCATCATTCCTTCTAAGCCTTGGTTTTATAAATTATCCATAAATAAGAAACATACATCAATGTTATGTAGAATGCGCTTGGGTCACTGCTGTAATTCGGTTCACCTTGCTAGTCTTCATATTAAAAATTCCTCAATATGTGAATGTGGTTTGGATATTGGTGACCTCAACCATATTTTCTTCTCGTGTCTTTTATATGATCATACTTCATTATTTAACACTTTGGTAAATCTTAAAATTCCTCTTCCTACAGAAATTTGTTCTCTTTTAATTTTTTCTAAAAAAAGTAAAAATTTTTTCAATTGTCTTATGGAATTTTTAGATTTAAATAATATTAGGTTATAAAATTTTGTTAATTATTTAGCAATCAATCGTCTTTATTTAGTAATACTTATTATTTTCAATGTGATATTGAGTTTAGTATTATTTTAATTCAACCTAACATCCATCATTTATTTAATATACTTCAGTACAAGTCATTTCATAATTCATTATTATAGTATTCTATGGTTATTAACATTATGATTTCGGTTTTTAATCAGAATCGTAGTTTCTCTTTAGATTGTCCGTCGTTTCATTTCAAGTTACAAGTATTTTTATTGACTGGAGGTTGGCAGTAATTGTTAGGTTGCCATATAAAAAAACTCTTTCATTATGATAAAATTATTTATTTGAATAAGAATTAATCACAGACTACTAAGAGGATACTACGCAATGAATACGTCGAATTAATACTACGATACGACTGTTAGATAAAGTCCTTACGCGGACTTTTTTGAAAGTAATAATGAGTACTTTAATCATGTAGCACATAATTTTTATGTATCATCAAATTTTTACAGCGCACGCCCAAATAATGAATTTTATAGGCAAAATTTTTCCTACTTTGGGTAAAAATTTTCTTTAACATCTCCAGTTTTTTTTGTAAATAATTTATAGCCTATCTTACTTTGTGATAATTTAGCTTTGAATAAAGCTAAATTTACGGATTTTATCGCGTTTAATTAACTACTTTTACTTATTTTTAATTCCCGACGTTTCGGGTGCTTTACAACACCCATGGTCACGCGCGTAGACAGAGAAACCTGTAGACTAATGATCAGTGTGGCCACGAGTGAGAAAGGACGATAACGTAGTTTTAGGTTATACAATAATTGTTATGAGTTTTAAACATATTTAGATAAAAAATTTAATTGTTTGTTGCTAGACATAAAAAACCGGTACGAAGAAAGTGGTAATTTTTACGTGGTAGAGCCATGCTGCAGTTATATTAGTAGTATAGTTGTAGCACGAATGGGTCGGCTCGACCGGGGAAGGACCACGCTCTCACAGAATACCAGCGTGAAATAGTAGCTCAATGCTGCTGTGTTTCGTTTGGTGAGTGCAGAGAACCGGAGACCCTTTTTACTGGAAACGAGGCATTCCATC